TCTACGGCCAAGTGGCTATAATCGTCGTATCACTAATTTTTGCTCTTGCGTCACTCGCATTTTCTTGCGTCCACCTCGGCACTGGGAATTCGCTGATGTACCCGGTAAGCCGAGGCGTTTTAAAGGGAGCGTGACAACTCAAAAACGAGAAAAATGAAGTTTTTTTGTGCTTCTTTTTTAGCAAATGTTCTACGCGGCCGTCGCGGTGATTGCGTTTTTGATAATGGGCGGATTTGAGACGTGGTGAGTCAAAAAAATTTGAGGCAAGCTAGCAAAGGAAATTTGCGGATATTTGAGGTTCTCGCAGCTAGCAGAGTTCCTTTAGGAGGGCAGGTAGGCTAGCAGAGGCAATTTGAGCAGCAAGGTGACCTAGCAGAGGTAATTTTGAGCACTGGCAAACTAGCAGAAATCTTAGGAATCGGGACTAGTAGAGAATTTTTGGGATTTGGGCTTGGCAAGCTAGCAGAGGTTCTTATGTAGTCAAGTAGTGGGGTTCCTTAGAAAATCCGGTAAGCAAAGGCAATTTGGAATTTTGGGCTTGGCAACTAGCAGAGCCTTTTAAATTCCAGGTACGCCACCGGATTCGACCACATGGCCTTCTTCATCCAGGCTATTGGAAATGGGGTAGGTTTTTGGCCTCAATGGTCCTTTAAAAAAACCTACCAAGCCTAAGACTCCGAAAAACTAAAATTTTAGGTATTTTCCGGTTGCGCCGGCTTGCCGGGCTGTCAAATCGAGTTTGTAGTGAAAGGATGGGCGGTGGCGGCGGTAAGAAAAAATCTAAGAATTTTTAGGAAGCGAGAAAATTAGTTTTGGAGCTAAATTCGTTTAAATTTCAAATATTTTTGGATTTTAATTAAACTAATTAATCAATTAAATCAGTTAGATGATTCAAATTAAATTAAAATTTCAGGCATTTTATTTCCTCTCGGCCTTGCTTTACGTAGCAGATATCGGCGTGACGTTTGCCGGGAAAGATCGGTCAGTTTTTATTTGCCATAATTTTTTTAGAAGTACCGTAATATCGCATTTTACGGGTTTTTAACATTTTTGAATGACATTTTGCCACTTTCTCCTTTGAAGGGGCGCCAGCGACAGCTACCCGGTGACGACGACCAGGGCCAATCACCATATTCACTATTAGCTGCCGAAAACGGTCGATATTCGAGATTTGGACTGCTATTAATGTGCTCACCAGGCTTCATCACTCCTACCTGTCACGCTGTCTTTAAGACGGCACATGTCGCACTATCTAAAAACGAAACCGGCGACCTTTACATTCCTTTAAAATGGTCATCTACAAACCTGTCCTCCACCAAAAAAAAAAAAAATACCTGTCACACTGCCTTTAAAATGGCTTCACATGTCGCATTGCCTTTAAAACGGCTCAGGCGACCTTTAGATCCCCCTAAAATAGTCGTCGACCTACCTGTCACCCCACCTTTAAAACGGCTTAGCCACGCAGCTAAATTTTTGTCGTTACCTTTAAATCCCCTTTTTCAATGCTTTCCCGGTCCCTTTAAAACTGGCTAGCTGTCATTCCACCTTTAAAAATTCCTAACCAGTTTTGTTATTACCATCAAAGCGCTGATCAGCACCTTCCTGGCACGCCCCCTTTAATTCGCCCGCACCCTCTTTTCACAGTGCCTTTAAAATAGCCCTTCCTGTCACGCTCCCTTTAAAGCGACCCGACGCGCCTGTCACCATGCCTTTAAAATAGTCATCACTGTCACGCTCCCTTTAAAATTGTAGCTCCCGCCCGTATCCGGTTGACCTATACTATGCGCGCCGGTGGCGAACGTCGGTCTAAACGATTACGACATGAAATTGTGGACCCAAAATGTATTGTACAGATGTTGTTTTGCTTTGCATTATATTCCTGTGGGCTCTTGATAAACATACGCTCTGCGCGTTTGACGGGAAATGCAGTGATATAAGGGTTTTAGATGTTTTGCAAATGGTCTCTGCTAGCCTGCCTGGCAATACTATTGGGAGGCCTGGTGTAGTTTCTAGGATTTTTTTGAAGTGCGGATTTCGGTGATTCTTGTAATTTCGCCGAAAAATCGCGAAAGATACGGCCGTAGCGAATCGTGCCATTCGAAAAAGCGTGAAAAATAGTGTCGAAAAAGGTTTTGTACGACACCTGGAAGTCCCGGGTATGGTTGCGGTGATTTTTTGAACTTTTTGTCTAACCGCCAAAGCGCCATCTTTCGGGTATTTGGGCCCATCGGGTTTTTCAAGCATTTGATTTGCATCTGAAAGAGCGTCAAAAATAGTCCCTAAAGACGTTTGGTCCAAAGCCCTAACGGCCCTGGTGTAGTTGCTGGGATTTTTTGAAGTTTTGACTTTTCATCGTATTGGAGCAAAGTATTGGAACATATTGTACATGATTTTTTGGGATTTAGCCAAAAATTTCGAAAGATAGGGCCGTAGCGAACCATGTCATTCGAAAGAGCATGTCAAAAAGTTCCTAAAAACGTTTACGTCCAAAGTCCTAGAGTCCCTGGTGTAGTTGCTGCGATTCTTTGAAGTTATAACTTTTGGTGATTTTGAGCAAGATGCCTAGCAATTTCTACTAGCCTGCCCTTATTCGCTCCCCTCGAATAACAATTCCCAACATAACAACTTTGCCCGATTTTCTAATTCTAAGTGAGTCGAGGCTCTATTTGTTCGCAGAATTTTCACCGCCGTTTTTCAGGCTAGTTATTTTTCCGAATTTTCCGCTGTGGTTACGGTGGTCGACGATCGGAAGGGGAAGGAATGGCAGAGAGAGAGAGAGAGAGGGAGAGAGAGAGAGAGAGAGAGAGAGAGAGAGAGAGAACCGAGTAGATGGGCAAATAGATAGGTGCCAAATAGCTGGCCACTAGGGCGGCAGAAGGGGCCAAATAAACAGAATGGACCTTCCCGAACTCGAGAAATGACCCCTGGAATGTTTAGCAAATGGTCTCTGCTAGTTTGCCTGGGCCTGGCAGGTTTCGCAAAATAGTCTGTGTCAATAGAGATAGCTCTCTCTCTCTCTCTCTCTCACTGTATCGCTCTCTCTCGCTCTCGCTCTCTATGTGTATCTCTTTCTCTCTCTCGCTCTCTCACTCACTCTCTCTCGCTCTCTTCCCCTCTCTCTCTAGCTCTCGCTCTGACTCTCTCGCTTTCTCTCTCTCTGCCACGGAACGTATCCAAATATAGAAATCTCTTTATTATCGTACATCAATCTCCGTAGAACACATAATATCATCGCGTAATCGAATACTTGAGTCATTTTTGGCATTGTTTGTAGCGTGTTGGGGGCAGTGTGGAGTTTGTAGTCGGAACTCCCGAGTTGCATTTTACTTTCTTCCGTACAAATAGTAGGAATACGGGTAGTAGTACGACACCGGCACGTAGGCCACCTGGTTCGTGGAGGCGCCTGAAAAATTTGAATTTTTTTGGGGCAGGCTAGCAGAGATTTTTGAGGAATTGTAGGGCAGGCTAGCAGTGATTCTTTGAGGAAATGGAGGGGCAGGGTAGCAGAGATTCTTTAGGAATTGGAGGGGCAGGCAAGCAGAGATTCTGGAGAAATTGGAGGGGCAGCTAGCAGGGATTCTTTGGGGAATTGGAGGGCAGGCTAGCAGAGATTTTTGGAGGAATTGGGGGGGCAGGCTAGCAGAGATTTTGGGAATGGAGGGCAGGCAGAGAGATCTTTGAGGAATTGGAGGGGGCTAGAGAGATGATGGGGGGGTCAGGTGTGGGCTGGGTTTTGAGGAATTCGGGATGGGGCAGGCTAGCAGAGACATTTGAGGAAACGCACCGTTTGATGTCTGTCCCTGTTGCGTGTTGTACTGCGGCTGCTGGCCGTTGTTGCCTGAAAACCAGTTGTTTTAATGGGCCCCTGAACGCGTCGAACTTGAGTCATATTGTCGGGTATTTGTTTGCATTTGCTGGCCGTTTTGGAGTTGGTTAGGTTGTTGTTGTTGTTGGCCGTATTGCTGTTGTTGCCCTTGTTGCTGTTGTTGTTGGTTATCTGCAAGTGGTTAGAGCTGCTCATGCAGATTTCATGCAAATTGGCGAATTTTTGGGTGTCGCCGTCCCTAAAAACGCAAAAATGGCTGAAAATTGGAATTTTTTTTCTTTTTTTAGGGTTGGGGCTAAAATTGGCTAAAAAACGTGGAGAATCATTTTTAGGTTTCAAACAAGTTAAAAATGACGATTTTCACGTTTTAAAGGCACCAGTGAAGTCAGATTTTGATGCAGTAAGCGATTAAACCCGGGTTTTCCGGTTTAAATGGCCGCTGAAGGCTAATTTTTCTAGAAATTCGAGGTATGGCACTCAAAATATCGCCTTAAAAAGTACTGTAGTATGGCGAGGGCGTCGTGGACTGTCCATTGGAGTAATCGTACTGTTGCTGTTGCTGCTGCTGTCCGTTCGCCATTTGGCTGTCGTCGTACTGGGGGAACTGGGTGCTGGTACCGTACTGCTGCTGGTTAGCTGCAATTTGGGAACATGCACGTTTTCATGCAGTAATAGATTAGATAACTGAGGATTTTCATGCCGTAATCGATTAGGGAACTTAGGATGATGGCTTAATCGAATAATCCTGATTTTTTGGGGTTTAAAAGGCCATTGAAGCTACTTTTTTATGGCGTAATCGATTAGACAGAGCTGTTTTCATAATGGTCGAACAATCCTTTTGGTTTAAAGGACATTGAAGCCACTTTGATGGTGTACTCGATTAGACCATGTTTTCGCGGGTTTTAGATGACTGCTTGAGCAAGATTTGATGTCGTAATCTATTAATAATAGCTTATTTCATGCCGTAATCGATCCAGTCTTGGTCTTAATCTTTTAAAGGGCCATTTTAGACAATTTTTTAATTTTTAGAAGGCCAGAAAATTGGTATTTTCCAGCCGTAAGCGATTAGACATAGCTTTTTTCCGGCCGTAATCGATTAGATCTTGGTTTTAATCTTTTAAAGGACCATTGAAGGCAATATTGACGCTTCCTAGGGGGCGAGTAATTCTAGCTACTCACTGGCATCATACTGCACGCCATTTCCCATGTTGTTCTGCCCGTTTTGCTGTTGCTGGCCGTACTGCTGGCCGTACTGCTGTTGTTGGCCGTACTGTTGCTGACCATTCTGGTTGGCTGAAAGAGGCGAAAAACGGTTAGGAAGCTGTTTAAAAAACAACCAAAAAACGCAATGTTTCCAAAATGAAAAATTGTTAGTAAATTTGCATGGCAAATATCTATCTAGTCTAACGAGTTAAATTTAATTCGATAAAGTTAATTAACTGTAAAATGCTCTGTAAAATACTGTGGAAAAATAGAAAATCGAAATTAAGGATTGAAATTTAGAAAAAAACGAACATTTTTTTGGAATTTTTCGACTTTATAAGTTTATTTTTGAATAATTGAAAAGTTTAGAGACTCTAATTTAGCATTTAAAGACGATTTAAACAACCTTAAAGTTCTCGGAAATTAAAATAATAGACTCACTGGCATCATACTGGACCCCGGTGCCGACGCCCGAGTTCTGGCTGTACTGCTGCTGTTGCTGCTGCTGCGGCTGGTACTGCTGGGATTGTTGTTGGTTCTGGAAAATGTGGGGCTAATGATCGCTGCTAGCTTGCCTGATTTTCGGGTTCCTCAAAGGTTTTTGCTAGCTTGCCCGCTCATTTCGGGACACGCAAATTGTCTCTACTAGCCTGCTCGCGAATTTAAGGGCTCCCAAATAGTCTCTGCTAGATTGCCAGCTCTTTCCGAATTCCGAAATGGTCTCTGCTAGCTTGCCCACTCGCAAGACTCTGCTAGCCTACCAGTCTTTCCGGATTCCTGAATGGTTCCAGCTCGGGTCTACACTTCTAAATTTCCTAGCTTGCCCACATTTTTACTTTCTCAAATGGTCTCTGCTAGAGTGCCCGCTCGTTTTAGGGTCCCCAATGGTCTCTGCTAGCCTGCCGCGTCTCGCCAGGCGTCCTAAATGGTCTCTGCTAGCCTACCATCGCGATTTCGGAATTTTCCGAACTTCCCTAATGAACCCTGCTAGCTTGCCCGCTATTTTCGGACCCTTAAAGCATCTTTGCTAGCCTACCAACTCGGACTATTTCTTCAAAGAATCTCTGCTAGCTTACCTGCTGGGTGTTCGTCGATCCTCCGGCGGTGCTCACGGGCATGTAATACGTGGGGTAGTAGTAATAATACGGGTAGGTGTAGTAGTACTGCGCCGAGGCCACCGCTAACAGGGCGAAGAGTAGGGTCAGGCTGGAAATGGGGTTATAAGGGTGTCACCGTCCCTTTAAAGCGATTTTCGACTGAAATTTGGGCATTTCTAGGTGTCACCGTCTCTTTAAAACAATTTTCTGCGCGAAATTTGATGATTTCTAGGTGTTGCCGTCCCTTTCAAGGCGCAAAACATATGTCTTAACCCCTTTAAAAGCCCAAATTTGGCAATTTCTAGGTGTCACCGTTCCTTTAGGAGCTCAAAATAGGTGTCACCGTCCCTTTAAAATCACAAAAATGCCAAAAACTCACGTCTGCATGCCGGCAAGTATCGTAATCGACTTCCGAAGTGCTCTCCGTCAATTTCCGGTCATTTTATAGGGCCCTCGACCCCACCGGGGAAAAGTTTGTTTTCCGCCATTCTCGGGTTAGCAAAGCGAGAGAGAGAGAGAGAGAGAGAGAGAGAGAGAGAGAGCGAGACGAACGAAATGAAGTGAGAAGTTCGGCGCTCCTGAATTTTCACCCCTCCAAGAGTTTTTCCATTTTTCTGCAAACAAAAAACGGCGCACCCGAACACTCTCCGGTGGTCAGCCGGAGAAATTCGAGAAGAGCAAACTGGCAGGGATTCTTTGGGGAATTGGCAGAAAATTTGGGGAAAATATTTATTCAAAACGAAAGGGCATGCTAGCAGAGATTCTTAGGGAAATCTAAGAAATCAGGTCAGGCAGGCTAGCAGAGATTCTTTGGGGAATTGGCAAAGATTGCAGAAAATATTTGGTTCGAAACGACCCAGGCAAGCTAGCAGAAATCCTTAGCGAAAATAAGGCATCAGGGCAGGCTAGCAGAGATTTTTTAGGGAAAAAAAGAAATTGGGCAGGCTAGAGAGTTTTTTTGAGAATTAAGGAATGATTTTTGTTTTTCATATCGTAATCCATTTCATTTTTCAGGTTCTCGATGCGCACGGCCGCTTCTCAAAGGACCTCTGCTAGCCTGCCCGCTCGAGAAGCTCTTCCTCAATGATCACTGCTAGCTGGCCCTCACGATATAACTGATTTCTAAGGTATAATTTTTGAAATAGTGTTAAATTCTTTTTAAGGTTTTATCGGCAAAGAAGAGACCATCAGACGATTCCCCAAGGATCCCTGCTAGCCTGCTCTCCTGGAAAATAGTTACGGCAAGACGACGGCTAGATGGGCCTTGAAGCGAAGCAGTGAGCCAGCATGGGGGATATTTTTCTAGTTTTAGGGTGCTGTAGTTTAGCCTAAGGGTGGGTTACGGTATTTTGAGGATTTTTCTAAAAATTTTTGGACTTGGGGTACTGTATTTTTTGTGCCTGAATTTCGGGTTTTTTGGGCTACTGTATTTTATGTGCATGATTTGTAAATATTTGGGGTCGGGTTACGGTATTTTTGAGGGATTTTAAAGTTTTAAAATTTTAAGATAATTACGTAAACGTTTAAATGGGTCTAAAAGTCTTAACTTAAAATCAAAACGACTTTTTTTGGTTATTTTCGTTTTTGACAATTTTTGGTGTTATCGTTGACTGGAAAACGCGGAATTTTGCACTCTACTGTACCTCTAAATCAATTATAGAAACGATTACGGTAGGTATTAGATTTTTTTTAACTTTTTACAAGGCTTCTCGGTAAAGAGGAGCTACGCGGACTAGCCGTGATTCTTTGGGAATCGATTACGGTAGGTTTCAAATTTTAGCATTTTTCTGGGGCATGGTATTTTGCGCATTCCTACTGCAATTAGGTGCATTTCGTACTTTCGGCTAGACGCCGTTCAGAGGCGTTAGGCGTACTAGCAGGGATTCTTGGGGTGCTATAATCTTCGGATTTTCACTATTGCGGGAATTAAACGTAATTTGTACCTTTCGTCTCGGCGCCGTTCAGAGGCGTTAGGCGTACTAGCAAGTTTTCTTAGGGAATCGATCGGAATCGAGCCTAGCAGAGGTTCCCTGCGGAATTTTTCTAGCTTTCTAAAACACGATTTCCAAATTCTCTCTGCCAGCTGGCCCATATCTCTCTCTCTCTCTCTCTCTCTCTCTCTCTCTCTCTCTCTCTCTCTCTCTCCTCCCCCCCCCCTTCGCCGCTTGCCCCATGCTTTTTGGCGGTTTCCCGGAAGCCAAAAACACAGAGATAAGCCCCAGCAGAAGCCGCTTGCCCCCTCAAATTGATTTATCGGCTTTTTATGGGCACACTTTCGCGATGAAATTCCTATTATTTCTACTGCTTGGCCTCGTGCCAACCCACGCAATTGGTTACGGCAGGAATTTCATGGTCGCCGGCCTCTACACTACAAATTTGGGGCCTTCTTGTGACCAAATCCAGCCCGATCAAGTGATTCTAAGCGAAGCGGGGAAATTCGCGACTCAATATGCTAATGAGTGAGTGATTTTTGAGATTACGAACTCAACGTTTTACATTCCCAAATAATCGCTGCTAGCTTGCCAAAAACTTTTAAAGAGAAAGACAAATTCCCCAAATCCCCTCTGCTCGTTTGCAGACAAATCCTGGACCCGCTCGGCATCCACATGCACCATTTCACGCTGGAGACGTGCAATGATCGAGCACACACACTCCAGGAGACGGTCTTCATGATTCTCAGGGAGAGGGCGGTGAGCGGGGTGTTGGATTTTGTATTTTGTACTCTGTAGCTTATACACTGTAGTCGCTACGTATTGTGTTGTAGTTCGTAGCGCGCATTCTTTTGTAGTTTTTGGTTTGTAGCCCGCTGTGTCCTCCTGTCTTGTAGCTTGTAGTTTGTAGTTTTAGTCTTTATTTTCCTTGCTCTTTTTTGTAGTTAGGGGTCTGTAATATCGTAGCTGTCTTTTTCTAGCTTGTGGTGTTGTTTGTAGTCTGTAGTCTGCCGTTTCTAGGATTTCTGCAAAGGTCGCGACACTCCTCCGACCCGTAATCCAAATCCCGATCCTTACCTCGGTGATCTGGTGGCCGTCATGGGGTCGTTTGACTGCGACCTCGCGGAGAACATCAACTTCTTGCTGCAGGTCAGCTAGCAGAGATTCTTTGAGGAATTGGAGGGGCAGGCTAGCAGTGTTAATTTGCGGAATTTCTAGGCCTTCTGCATCCCGTTAATCTCGACGAGTTGCACGGCCAGCCAAATGCACAACTGGCTGCAGTTTCCGTATTTTTTGAGGACGGCCACCGATGATACCTATCGGCAAGCTAGCAGAAATCCTTGAGGAATTTGGGAATGATATTTTTAGTGCCCAGGTGATGTACGACGTGCTGATGTCGCAGGAATGGTATCACATAGCTGTGATCAGTGACGTCAGCACCACCGGGTCCTCGCTGTCGTCACAGTTCAACAATTTGGTGGGGGTTTTGGACTTTTGGGCGCTTTTCGTGTTATTTTGCCCAGAGCGAGCGCTTATCACTACGATTTTCTGAATCTACGCACAAAATTACGTCGGAAAACTCTTCAAAATAATTTTTTTAAAGTTTGAATTATTTTTGATAAACCGAGAACTAACTTTCTCTTCCCTCTAGAGCACTTTTGAGGCTTTTAGAGCCACTTTTCGTGTTATTTTGCCCACAGCGAGCGCTTTTCACTATGATTTTTTTGAATCTACGCGTCGGACAACGCTTTAGAATAATTTTTACAATGCTAGGATTTCTGTAAAAATCAGTCTAACCTTTTTGCAGCTCTACTACTGCACAGCGGCCCAGGATGCGAATCCGATATTCCGGAATCCCTGCATCGAGCGCACGTTTGAATTCGACTGCAGTAATCCCCAAAAGGTGCCTGGGATTTTATGTCGGAATCGATTAAAGCCGATTTTGAGGCCCAATTTGGTAGCGTAATCAATTGACCCGAATTTAATGACGTAATCGGTTAAACCGGTTTTTTCGTCGCGTAATCGTTTGAGCCGGATTTCGTGGCATATTCTTTTGGACGCAGCGAAAATTTGATTGCGTAATCGATGAACCCGAATATTATGACGTAAATTATTAATTTAATTTACGCTTTTAATTTTAAATTTTTGTTTTTATTTTACATTAAATTTTTAATTTATTCCTTTAAACTTGTTTTTGCGCCGTAGTCGGCGTAATCCCCGTCGAATTTCATGGCGTAATCGTACGAATTGGATATCGTAATCGATTAAATATATTTTGATCGCGTAATCGATTACGCCGAATTTACTAGCTTAATCAATTGTACTCTAATTTCGTGTCGTAATCAGTTAAATCGAATCGCTGGCACCGAATTAACTGCGGTAATCGATAATGCTGAATTTAATGACGTAATCGATCACCCTATGTTTTCATGTCGTAAGCGGTCCCACTTTGTAGGTGACCGTCAAGCTCTACGAACTCCGCGATTTCCTCGTCGAGAGCGACGTGCGCGTTTTTGTGGTGTTTGCGAAGGATGATTGCATGGCCACAATTTTGCTGGATATCCAGGCGCTCGGGTATAAGAGGGTCGGTTCTCAGGATTGTTACAAGTCCCTTTGAAATGTTGTCCTGTACTTTGCAGTCTGTGGTTCAAGCCTCCCGCTCAAGGATCTGTTTACTTTGTGTAGTTTGTCGTTTATTCTGTTTAATGCCTTTACACTTTCTAGCCTGTCCGGGCAGTTTACAAGCCTTTTCGATGTTGTTGGTAGTTTATAGTCCGGCGTTCAAATCCGCCGCATGCTAGTTCCTTTAGGGCGTTATTAGGTGTAGTTTGTAGTCCAGTTTCAGCCCCTGTTGCCCCTTGTAGTCCCTAGTTCGTAGTCCCGTGTCTACGGTCGGCCGTCGTCTTTATTGTCTGTAGTCTGTGTTCTGCACTTTCTAGTCTGTAGTCTCACACTCTAGGGAGATCTCCAATTCGTGCTCCCCTCAGTCCCGCTCAACGACTCGAATCTGGACATTCTCGAGTATGCCTATGCGGTAGATGATTACATCGAATTGGTGGATACGTTCGAGAATGTCATTATGAATACGCCGATTAAGGATACGGAGGTAGGGATGGGCTTAGGCGTAGGCTTAGGCTAAGGCTTAGGCGTAGGCTTAGGCTTAGGCTTAGGCTTAGGCTTCCCCTTTGGCTTGAGCGGGCTTAGGCTTTGCCTTAGGCTTAGGCAGGCTCAGGCTTGGCTTAGGCTTAAGCTTGGCTTGGGATTTGCTTAGGCTTTGCCTGGGCTTAGGCTTAGGCTTAGGCTTGGGCTTAGGCTTGGCTTTAGGCTTAGGCTTAGACGTAGGACTGGGCTTGGCTTACGCTTAGGCTTGAGCTTGTCCACTTCCAGGTCGGCCCCTTCCGCCAACTCATAATGCTGGACAACCTCTGCTGGTATGGCAACGAAAACGCCCCGTTCAGCTTCGAATGTAATGGCACTGAGACGCTACGCGTCCCTCCGCAGCTCGGCAAGCTAGAAGAGATTCCTTGAGGAATTTTTTCCGATTTTCTAGGCTTCCGCCAAGCCCGTCGAGTCATCGACTCGCTCGTCTGGATTGCGCAGTCGATGGAGCGTTTGCATCTCAACTTTTGCGACGCTATCCCGGGATTTTGCCCGGATTTCTTTCAAAAGTGAGTGGGCAGGCTAGCAGAGATTCTTTGAGGAATTTCAGCTTCAACGGCGCTTCCTTTTTCGAGGCTATGAACCACACCTCGTTTAATTCCTTTGATTCTGAGCACATTTTTCGGCCTGTTAATGGCAGTGCCCAGCCGATTTATAACATCTATCAGCGCCAATCGGTGGGTTTGGGCTTCGGCTTCGGCTTCGGCTTAGGCTTTGGCCTAAAGGCTATAGGCTTGACTTTACCAATTTTTAGACGGCCTGGGTTACGGTATTCGGGAAATACAACCCGCTGGAGGAATTGGAGCCGGCTGAGGACAATGTGGATCCCATTGACATTCCGATACTGTCCGCAATTCTCAACGAGACGCGGACTTGCCAGAAGGACTGTGAGAATGAGATTGCGAACTTTCAGGTTTGCCTTCCACGGGCCTTTAGGAGAGGGGATATCTAGCAGAGATTTTGGAGGAACTCGACGAGGGGTCTGCTAGCAGGCTTTTTTTGTGCGATGAATGTCCTTCTAAATCACAATCGACCAGATAGTTCTTTCTTCCCGTGAACTTGTTGAATTTGCCTTCAATGGCCCTTTAAAATCCTCTAAAACCCCAATTTTGCAGCCAGGCTGCTGCTGGAGCTGCACAGCTTGCCCCACATTTGCCGTGGTCAATGCTACGGTGCAGGTATGATTCGGGGTTTTAAAGCGAGCGTGACACCCCTCTAGGCTTGCGTCCAATGCCCGGAGAATCGCATTCCGAATGAGCACCGGAATGCTTGTGTCAGTTTTGCGACGACAGACTTGTTTCTGAAGCCGAGCAGCGAGATGAACGTGGGTTGGGCTTAGGCTTGCTTAAGCTTAGGTTGGGCTTGGGCTTGGGCTTAGGCTTAGGCTTAGGTTTAGGCTTGGGCTTTTAGGCTTAGACTTGGCTTGTGGCTTAGGTTTGGCTTAGGCTTGGGCATGACTTGACTTAGGCTTAGGCTTGGGCTTAGGCTTAGGCGTAGGCTTAGGCCTTGAGGCTTCATGCAATTTCAGGTCATAATCGTCCTCGATGCTCTAGGAATTCTCTTAACCCTTCCGGCCCTAGCTATTCTATTCTATCGCCGTGATACGCCTATGGTACGCGCGGCTACGCCGGACTTGGCTTTTCAGCAGGTATCGTCGACATTTTCCTCAAATTATCTTTGCTAGCCTGCCCCACTTCTATTTTCCAATTTTTAGACGGTTATAATTTGCCTACTCTTCATCTCATCAGGGTTAATGATACCTAGGTAACCTTGCAGGTTTTGGGAATTTTTTGTTCTTGCAGTACCTCTCCGGTCGCTTGTGGCTTCGTGTGGGGGATGTCGGCATTGCTACTGACGGCTACTCACTCGATTTCACTTGCTAAATCGTTGAGAATTTCCAGAGCTGGGTACGGTAGATTTCTGGGGTTGCGGATTTCGCTTCAATGGTACTTTAAAGCCATTCTAAGCAGGTTTTCGCCTTATGGATTTTTTTGCCTTCGATGGCCCTTTAATGAACTCCTAGAGCGATTTTCATCAGGATTTTGCCTTCTAGGGCCCTTTAAAATCTAATCGTTCCAGTTTTTTCGTCCGATTTGGTCAACGGGTCAAAACCCCGCAAAAAGCTTCCCTAATCCTTCATGCTTCGATGGTATTCATACAGGTGCGTCGCTCTCTCCCTCTCTCTCTCTCTCTCCCTCTCTCTCCTCGAAATTCCGATTATTTTTAGTTTTTCATCATAACCCTCTGGCTTTTACTACGCCCACCCTCAATTCAATGGGATCGCGTAACGCTTTTCCCGAGTTGCACGTATGACTACAAATTACAACCTTTGACTACAAGCTACAACTCTTTACAGTAGTAACAAGGAGGGCCAAACTATTGTACTATTGCTCAGTCCGGCTGTAATCCTCAGTGATCAGCTTGTACTTTCAGAAGAAAGCCTGTGGAAACCAGTACATTTATCAGGTTGGGGAAACACCGCGAGGCGGTTTTTTTTGGATTTGGATTCGCTAGCTTTCGGCTTATGGATTTGACTTCAATGTTCCTTTAAGCCACGCAAATTTAAATATCAGATCCGCCGCGAAGCGGTTTTTACCCCAATTTTGTCTTGAATGCCCCTTTAAACCCCCAATTTCTAGGGTAAAACAAGCTCGCATCGGCCTTGCTGGTACCCTATGCTTTCTAGTAAATTATTTGGTGTTTATCGCCCTCATTTTGATCAAGGTAGGGAGGTGTCGCTGTCCCTTTAAAGCTACTAAATGTTCTCTGTTGGCTTGCCCTCTGTTCCTCAAGAATCTGCGCTAGCTTGCCCTCAATTCTAGGGCTCAACTGATCAATTCCGGACCATTGTGCTGATGTGCATTCCGATGGTTACCGGGTATTTGGCGTGGATCACGAACTTGTTGCCGACGACGTGGGAGGTGGGCTTGGGTTGGCTTAGACTTAGGATTGGGCTTGGCTTGAAAGCGTTTTTCAAAGGCTTCCGAATGACATAAAAATCATTATGATAGCTAATTCTTGGAGAACGTCCTAACGATTTGAAGTTGAAGTCTTTAGGCGCCCTCTAAAACCCGGAAAAACGGATCCGGAATGACCGGAAACGGAATTCTAAAAACCCGAGACAATATCGAAAAATTGGTTTTCTACCTCGTAAAATATGTTGTGAGTTTGAGAGGTCGACCATGGAAATCGGCCATATCGATAGGCTTAGGCTTAGGCTTTCGGGCAATTTTTTGTCATTCATATTGCCATCCGTCCTGGTAGTGGGCCAGATGGGTGACGAGTGGGTGGCGAAAAAGATTACAAAATCCTTGCAAAGGTTTCGTCGATTTCCGGTCCGGATCCGGTTTTCTCCATTTTTTTGGGCTTTCGCTTAGGCTTTATCATACGCTCTAGTTTCCTCTTTCAAGGTCCTAACCAAGGCCAAGCAGAACGATCAACAATACGTGAGCCGGCAGCGGAGCCGACAATTCCAGGTAGGACCCCCGGGGGGAGAAGCCGAGAACGCGGGGGGTGGTCCCGAGAGGGAAAAGCGGGGAAGAGGGGGATGTTACAACACTGTGGGTGGGCCAGACAATTAGCGGAAACGGTGGAAGGGGGCGCTAATTGAGTGTTGGGCAGGCTAGCAGAGAAAATTGCGGAAATTTCTGACGCTAGCGGAGATTTTTTGAGGAATTGCAGGAGCAGGACAGGCTAGCATAAATTCTTTGAGGATTGGGGGATCAAGGGCAGGTTAGCAGAGATTCTTTGAAGAATTCGGGGGGAGGCAGGCTGGCAGAGATTCTTTACGGTTTTTTTGCTTTTCCTAGCAAGCTAGCAGTGTTTCTTTGAACGCCTCCCCCATGCGTTTTGAGCACTAACGAACAAGTGTCAGCTGTCTCTGACCTCCCCCGTTCGCTGTGTATCACAATGATCTCCGGGGTCACCGCTCAAGGGAGTAAACAACTTTTAAAGGGCCGTTGAAGGCAAATCCTCAAGTTTCAAGGCCCTAGTGAAGTCATTTCCAGCATGGAAACATCATGTACTACGTGGAGTCGGTGATCTTCAACCGGCCAAAGGGGTTGACGATTAACACGATCGATTCGGCGGATGGTTTAGAGTCCGAGAGAAATAGAGGAGAGAGAGAGAGAGAGAGTGATAGAGAGAAAGAGAAGTGAGAAGCAGAGAAAATTCCGCTAGCGTCTGCAATTCCGGGAAATTCCGAGAATTTGCTCTTGACGCCACAGCCGAGGGTCCGCGGGCAAACAAATGACCGCATCGGGCTTTGTTTTCTTGGTTTCTCTCTCTCTCTCACTCTCTCTCTCTCCCTCTGTCCCTCTTGCTCTCTCTCGCTCTCTCTCTCTCTTTCTGATTTTGCATAATTTGTAATTATAATTGTACTACGATGTTTTTAAATGAAGATAAATTGACACTTCAAAGATTACAGACTACAAATCCAAGGAATTTTTAGTTAAGTGTCCCTTTAAAGCTTTCCTCAAGGTTCTCTGCTCGTTGACCTATAGTCTACAGAAACCTAGACTTCAATGCCCCTTTAAAGCGAGTTTCCACAAGATTCTATGCTAATCGCCGGCTGGTAAAGTTTTTCCTCAAGAATCTCTGCTAATTGGTCCTATGGCAAACTTTTTCCTGAATGTTCTCTGCTAGCCATTCCTTGATTTTCATTTTCAGCGCTGCTTTTTCAAAGCGTTTCCTCAGGAATCTCTGCTAATTAGCCCTCGGCCCAAACTTTTCCGCTTCTCGGTCACCCAATTTGAATGCATACCCCTTTCTGCCCTTTGTCTGTGGGCCCTGGGGGCACATGTGGCACGTCGGTCAGTACGGGGGGAGACGACCCGGACCAGATGTGTCCTCCTTGCGCAACTGTCTTTTCCGCGATACACTAAATCACGTGCCGAGACGGCCGGGTTATGGTAGTTTTTGAAATTGAATTTGGTAGTTTTTTGAATTCTCAGGACTAAAAACTATAGGCTACAAAATTTCCTAGCGGATGTTTGGCTTGTACGGGCCTTTAAAGGACCAATGAAGTAAAAATCTATGGTTTTTGTTAGCTAAATTGAGCAATTTTAATCGTTTACGCCATGAAAATCGGAATTCCTAGATTTTAAGGGGCTACCCAAATCAGGGAACCGGTTACGCAATCAAATTTCTGGCTGTTGCCGCGCCTTTAAGGTGTCGTTATTGGTTATTGGAATCGATTGGCGCTATGAAAATAGAAGTGGTTGTCTTCTCCAGCTGTCGCCGTCCCTTTAAAGTGTCGTAAGCGGCGAGAATTAAACGATTACGCTATGAAAAAAGAAATTTGGCTTTTCCAAGCTGTCCCCATCCCTTTAAAATGTCGTAATCGCCTCTTCGAATCGATTACGCAATTAAATTCGTGACTTCGGCCCTCTAAAGAACGGTTGAAGTCAGGAACCAGTTACGCTATGCATTTCCCAGCTGTCCCCACCCCTTTAAGATGTCGTAATCGATTTTTTTGCGATTCAAACCAAGTGATAATAAGGCATTTATCAGGCGGCAGGCACTTTGTAACGGAATACAAGGAGCACGAGGGGGAGGAGGAGGAGGAAGAGCAGAAGAAGCTTCTCCTGGAAGCTGCTCCCTCCCGAATTGCATAGCGTATAATAGTTGCGTAGGGTAACGTATAGGTTGTATTTTTTTGGGATATGATATGGCGGTGGCAGGACGAGCAGCACGAGAGAGAGGGAGAGAGAGACGGAGAGAGTGGGGAGAAACGCAGAGCGCTTAGAAGCACTTGCGGTGGACGATGGACGGGCCCGACTCGTCGTACTCGGCCTGGAAATGGATCGATTAGGCTATGAATCAGTAGATTATGCCATGAAAATCATGAGAAAAGGGTCGAGGGTTCGACCCCCGCCCGCTACAAGCTTTTTGCTTTTTGCTTTTTCTCGCTTTTGAAGTGAAAATCGGCGATTTCCAACCAATTACGCTATGAAATCCCCTTTCCTGGCCCCATTACGCTACATAAATCAAGACATGAGCCTCACCTTGGAGATCCACATCTGCTGGAAGGTGGAGAGGGAGGCGAGAATGGATCCTCCGATCCACACAGAGTATTTGCGCTCCGGAGGGGCAATGATCTTGATCTTCATCGTGCTGAAAAAGGGGCATTTAGAGATTCCCTATTTGTCTCGGCTAGCTACCCTCCCTAGAGGTCGCTGCT